GACGAATCGATCGATTCGTTTTCTCGGATTGATTCCCTTTTCGAAGAGGGATGAGATTCTATTCCATCGATCGATTATCGATACCGATATTTTCGTACTCGACTTCGAGCCGAGTACAACTGCGAACGAGAAAGATTAATTTAAAAAAAATAATTAACGAAACGGCAGGAGACACGTTAGTTTAGCTTGCATGTCGATTTTAAATATTTCGCGAAAAAAAAAAAGAAAACGAATCTCGCTTTGATCCTGGTTCCCACAATGTTCGATTCCATTTTAAGATTCGCGTTACAAAAGCGAACGGATCGGTACACTTTGAAAAGGAGATCATTCTCGAACGAGGGGGAGAGAGAGAGGGAGAGAGAGACTAAAAGAGAGAGAGAGAGAGAGAGGGAGAAATTAGTTGTTTGCGAAACGAGAAAGGTTACGTTTTAAAGTTTCACCTGATCGAAGAGAGAAGAATTTAATTATACGCTCTTGTTTCACTCGCGAGGGTGGACACGTGACGATGACAACGCCCTTAAAATTATTCGCATCGACGGACTAATTAAATTAATTCACACGCGCAACATCTCTCGCTCGTAGAATTGTCGCGAAATTTCCGGTGCGCAGACTGTCGCTTATTTACATAAATGAAATACCAATGGCGTTTTACTATTGTCGCGTTAGAAATAACGATGGCGCAGTTCCACAGCGTCGCGTGTACACGGGTTCAACGACACGATCGAAATGAGAAACGATCGCGCGTACGCTATCCGTGTATACATATAATATAAACACAAGAGACAAGGAAATTTTCTCTGTACGAAACACGTAAACATAACACAGCTGGCGTATTACGAATTCCAAGAATTTGGATACGACGTACGACGTACGATTGTATACATTTATAGATAACAATATACGATATAAGAAAGGCGATAAGAAATTCGAAACAAAATTACACGGGAGGAATTAATTACGCGACGCGCAAATAACAAGGAGGAATTAATAACGACGAGATGGACGAAACGAACGATTTCGGGCGAAAAAAAAAAAATAAAAAAGCGGAGGAGAATAAAAGATAGACTCACGTTGCTCTGCCGGCGGGTGGGCACATTGCCCGCGGGCGTCGATGAGGAGTAACGGTGAAGGACGAGCTACCGTATCCCGGGCTTGCTGTGTAGGGAGCACGAGGACTTGGTGCGCCGTGCCGATTTACCCGCAGCAGTCCCCAGTCCTCGTCGCGTGGACGTGGCGCACCCGCACATATCCCCCACGTACCCGACGTCGT